GACATGTAATCTATAGTTTAGGATACGATTAAACTGGCATGTACATTTTCTTTTTGTACAAAAGTACTAAATAAATAAAGATTTAAAAAGAAAAGAAAAAATGATAGGGACAGGCAAAAGCACGTCAAGCTTGACACTTTGTACTTTGAACCGTTCTTACCGTAAGCGGCATAGAGTTGGATTTAAATCTTAAGTGTCAAGCTTGACGTGCTCTTGACCTTGTACATAAAACAGCAAAGATTATACCTACTTGTATCAGACATAAATCTTTGTTTTTTTTTGTATTTGGCTCATACTTATAGTAAGCAGCATTGAGTTGAATTTAATTCTTAAGTGTCAAGCTTAACCTGTTCTTGACCCTGTAGAAATATATACTGACCTTGTACAATTGTTTTTCATCCTTCAATAAAATTGAAACAAAAAACATAAAAGGAAAGATTTCAAAAATTGAAATTTTTATATACTTTTATTGGGTGGAAATAAAACTATACTTACTGCAAATTTTTACTGCTTTTTATAACTACACATTAACATTGTGGTAAAAGTGTAACGTTTTTAACCGACTTTAAAAAAAGGAGGAGGTTCTCAATTCGACTGTATGTTTTTTTGTGTACATATATGTTACGCGATAACTCCGGTATTTGTGACCAATAATTACAAAAATAACCAATTTTCAGGATTCTTTTTTCGTTGGAAAGAGGGTACCTCCATAGTGGCCCCATTTAATTTTGAAGAAAATCATCCACCTCTAAGGGTGGCTGTTCACGCCTGAAGATGCATTTTTATAAATAGCACCTAAATTTTAGTGTAATGAGCAATTATTTTAATGGTTGATTTTGCTATTCTTTAATTCAAGGCGTTTTTCTCTCAATATACTTTCGAGTAGTGAGAACCGATTTTTATTATCTCCTGTGTCAAGTCCCGTATAGTGGCGAACTAGGGGATGAATCAGGGTTTGCGCACTTTCCGGTAACCGATTTCAATAAAACTTGGTAGAGGCTGGAAGAGGCTGTATAGTGAAACCCATGTGAAACCTGACAAAGGCAAACTTTTATATAAATTTTCACCCAAATAAATGGGTGAAAATTTATTAAAAAAAAATGGCGATTCGTCTGAAGTACATATTGGCACCACTGGAGGCCAATAACATTAACTTGTGCCAAAAAGGAAAACATTTATGTATACATACAATAACAAGGCCGACTTAGTTTTGTATACGCACCTATATTTGAGTTTAATTTTCTAGTATGTACTAAATAATAAAGATTTTGAAATATAACAAGCACCTGTAATTATTGTTTCTTTCCCCTAACTTGACTACAATTTAACAATAAATAGGTACAAAAAAATATTTAATAATGCTTCAACACGGGTTAAAAATGGTCAGTCCAAATTTCAATACAAAATAAAAGTATTTTAGTAAATCGAGTTATAAAAGATAAGTAGCTAAATTTTATTTTTAATGCTCTAGTTTTTAAGCCCAACATGAAACTACCAAATAAATAAGATTTGTATTTGATTTGTGTTAGCTCAGATTAATTTATTATAATTATTATAAATATTAATTTATTTTATTTCTCAGGGAAATAAAATCAATCATTAAAAAAGATGTCTGCATAGATTTTCTTGCCTGATGCTTTTGCACACTTCACCACTACTACACATCTTTTGATAAAATTTATTTGTGCAAATGAAATTGGTTACTTCGGATAATTACTCAGCCAAGCTATATAGTTACAAAATATTCAATTTGGTTCGTCCATATAAGAACTATGGTGCTACAGATAAATACACACATAGATAAACAGACCACATTTTTTAATTACAGTCCGTCTTTGAGAATTTGAAAAAATTGTGAAGAACATAAAAAGTTTTTGCTAAATTCCAATATTTATGTAATAGTATAATAGTTTCGCCTAGCGCTTTTCTATAAGGAAATTTGAAGATTAGTCATTTGTCTCAGTGCATCCTTTAAACTTTTTTTTTTAACCGAATCCGTGTAGGCCATGAAACTAAATTGTGCCCACATGGTGAGTATGGCTTAGACCTTTCTTTAGCCAAATTTATTTTAATTATTATTAATTATTAATTGTTTTTCTGAATAAACTATTTACTTATATTAAAAATTAATTTTATGGATGTCCGTACCCAACACTGGGACATTATTTGTCTTTCAATATGGGGTCTCTGTCAATCAGAGTACCTATAAAATTCTCTTTTTCCTTTACCACATAACATAATGTTTAAAAAAGAAAATAAATAAACATTTTTAAACTTTATCATTAGAAGTTCCAAAGTATTCCAGAGGGTCTATGATCAAACCTTAGATGGCTGGACTGAGAAAGACATAAAAGATTCAAGTTTTATGCTATTGAAAAATTACTTTAAAAAAGTTATTTAAACCAATTATTAAGAAGTTACTTACATGTATGTAATAATACCAGGTCGATTGGCCTATATGCCTATAAAATCATAAAACTAGGAAATTGTTGTTTTTAAACAAGGAAGTATACCAGGTTATAGAGGCAAAGAAAATTCTGCAAAAAAGCAAAAATTAAACGCCATGTGGGGCCAAATAACATAACCAAGACAAATTAAAATGTCCTTCAAATAATAGAACAACTGTACAAAACGAGCACTTCATAATTCGTCGCACTACTGAGTTCTCTTTTCAAATTACCTGTTTCTGACTACCAGCTGATTTGTAAAGTGAATTATTATTATGAAAACACTTACCTAGAAATATTTGTTGTTTTAAGTTTGAAGGAAGACGTAATATTAGAAATTTCAATTAAAACTTAGTTAATACACTCTGGGAGCCCAGTGGAGCGACAAGTAACGTAATGTTTCAAGAAATAATTGAATGGTCGTATTTGAATTTGATTGAAGTTCACTGTGTAAGTGAGAAGGATGCTGTGTGCGAGCAAATACGAATATTGTATATGGTAACCGCATCATTTTGAGCGTTGATGCGATTTTAATTCCGAGACAATTTTCTTATTTATTTGTATACTAGGTGGAATGTCGATTTCGTGCGGAAACGCAGCAATTGTTATATGTTATGTTATATTTGTCTGTTTTCACAGTCCTGCACATTAGCGTTTGCAAAATTTTACAATTGAATATTTATTACATCGCTTAAGAGTGAAAACCTTCGTTATGTATCTTTACATAGCTCGTTTTCACCGATTTCGTTAAAGCAATAGTAATACTAAGTAATTACATAGAAATCGCAAGTGAGGTATTCACTCGCTAAGACGGCGTTATAAACTCAAAGAATATTTATTTAATAGAAAAGCAAATCAAGAATGAGCAAGAAACTCTATAGATTTATCATAAGGATTATTGACCCAATTATCTCCAATCACATATCGAAATTCAAAATCTGTGCTTCGGCACCATCGCTGCAGAATTGAATTTTACAAGCGAGTTGGTTTCATGCGTATCGTTTGAGGTACGAACGTTCGTCGATTCGGTGGATGCCAACAAAGCTTCGCTCGCACATTTCGACAAATTCTTTATTTAAAACCATTTAAAATCTAAAGATAGTGTCAAAATTATTAAATTTGTATATTGTAACCGACGCCACAGTGTTAAAAAGTGACAATTTTTATTCCGTGGCAGTGTGCTCTATTTGTTCACGAATTTTAAATTATTTATGTGCTGTTAACTTTTTCCTAAAAAATTTATATTATTTTTTAAGTATCCATTTATCTTTTTATCGACTATTTAACGTCACACAATAAAATTCAATCGATATTTTCAGTTTTTCTAAGCTTTAAAAAATTATATGTAAATTTACTGTAATATGAATTATATTACCAGTGCCAAATCCTCGCACCCGTACTATACCGCCTTGTTATCAAAAAAGTCAACCGGTCGTGTGCGTAAGCGAGCACGTGGTGGGTCTTCTTGCAAGCTAGTTGTGAAAACTTTATAAAAGGCTCTTGTTGGGCTGCAGACCTGTCGCGCGATCCCCTCTGGCCTGCGAACCCGCTTCATTGTTGCTCCCGCTTCTAAAAACGAAAAAATGTCGTATCCCAAAGAAGGTAAGTTTCTTCCTCTCACTCTTCGTTTGTTACTATTACTGTACTAAATTAAAAAGCTTCACCTCTGTACTAACAACCGGTCAGCACTCTGCCTTTTGAATTTAGTCGGATTATACCCGGCATTTTTACTTTACTGCGCACCATTCTACGCACAAGGAATTTAACCACACGGCCTTGATTCTAGTATTTGTGTTTTATTTGTTAACAGTTGATCAGTCCATTATTATTTTGCTTATTACACAATTACTATTATTTATTTTCAACTTCCATGGTTTAATTGAAGTTATTTAATATGCAATGATACCGGTATCTTAGGACTTTCATAATTTAGTAAAAACATATTGATAATTGCAATGAGCGTTAATTCTAAAGGTCTTAACATTGAAACGGAATTAATAATTTAATAAAAAATAGTCATTGAAATGTATTTAATTGCACATAACGTTTCTGAAATAGATGGTATTGTGTGTGGTGTGATGTGTAACCGCCACGATTTTTTCCTCAGTCTTCTTATACTAAAATATATATGTATATTATATGTATCTCTGTGGAGACAGCTTAACATTTTCGAGAACCGAAAATTAAGGGTAGTAATAGTAAGTAGCTGTACTTACCATGAATATACTGTATCGATACGATAGTCGCTAACGACTGCGCAAAGTATTTAATTTGTATGGAAATTCTGCAGCGTTCCTAGCGATCACAAGAAATACTTATGTTTTCTTTACAACTAATGTCAGTTCTTTTTGTTTTTGTGGTGACTAGGGTGCTGTACGCAATTTTAGTAGCATTTAAAAGTAACGAAGTTATTAAGATATTGTGTTTGAGAGGACAAACAATAAATAATTGTTACATAATTATGGGTCGAGTAGGCATTATTAACATCTACTGTGAAAAAGGTGATTGCCTTTTCACGATCTAAAATAATGTTCCATAGAAGATTATAGGTACTTACTCTCAAAAGAATCTCTGTTTCAAAATACAGGACTTATACAAGCCATCCCATTTCCTTTTCACGATTTAAAGAGCCCTATTTTAATAGGATAACATACGTACTCACAAAAGAATCTCAGTTTAAAAATACAGGACAGGATAGAAGGATTAATCCCTTACAAGGAACATTATTTTAAATTATATGAATACTATGAAATTGTATATGTGTAAGTTTAGCAAAACGCATTTTAATGTGTTAAACAACTGTCAGTGACAGTTAAACAACTGTCGATATTCGTACTTTTCTATGGATCCGTATACAAAAAGTAATTTGACAGTGTGGACGAGTTAAAAACGGAATTGAGGCGTAGCTGTAGGTATTATTTCGAATGTTCATCGTAACAAGATAAGAAAATTTACAGGCAGCGAACTTCAAAGGGTTGGAAAAAGAAAAGAAAAGCAAAACATTCTATCTACAATTTTTAAAATAGGTGCTTTCCCTCCGTGTCACATATCTGTGAGACGCTCTCTACAGAACTCGTACTTAGCGTGCGTTTTTTGACAGTACTCAAGATCTCTAATTTCTTGTTCACCACCTGTAATACTCTGGACACTCGGTCCGTCCACGATATTTTCTAAATCCACGTCATTCTTTCAATAATATTCGCATTAAAAGTACATACCCTCATACGATATATTTGCCTTCCATTGATGTAAGCGGACTTATTATCCGAATCGTCTTTCTCAATTCCTCAGCCTTATGAAGTGTTTTATTTTTCAGTTGGAGGCTATAAGTTGGGCAACCTCATCATCGAAGGCAAAACCAAGCAAGTATTCGATCTTCCCGATGTACCTGGCAGCTGCCTGCTTCTGAGCAAGGACAGAATCACAGCGGGAGATGGCGTCAAGGCTCATGACATGGCTGGCAAGGCCGCGATCTCCAATGAGACCAATGCTAAGGTCTTTGAGATCCTTAAATCTGCTGGTAAGTAATACATATGCAACTTCTAGAGCGGTAACGGTCGTTAGTTCGAACCAGTGTGGCGGTATGTGAAGTCGTAGCAGCCTAACGGTTTGACCTACCGCCTCTCAAGCAAAGGCCGTAGGTTCGAATCAGGCCTTGCACCTCTAAGTTTATAGGAATTTATGAGCGAAATTTAATTTGAAATTTACCATGAACTTTTCGGTGAAGTTACCTTCACTTCATCGTGAGCAACCCTGCATATATCTGCAAAGCAATTTTATGACGCATGTTAAGTTCCCCATCCGCATTGGGAAACGCTTGGGAACTACAACCCAAGCCCTCTCATTGTGAGAGGCAGTGGAACTTTATACACTTAGGGTAACTATTTTCGTAGTAAATACCTTTCGCAAACAGCAAAAAAGCTTCGCAAATCGAAATCTCAGACCCGCGTTAGGTCAGCGTAGCGCAGCGCAGCTAACATTGGCGTTAAACCCTCTATTTAAAGGAGACCCGTGCTTATAATGTTACGCATAATAGACTTGTTCTCTTGAGAGAGAAATCTTTTCTTCAAACAAACGAATCTTTTCTTCAAAAATTTCAAACAAACGAGGTTTGTTTGAAAAAACGCGATTTAAATCCGGAAAAATAGTTTCATTTCCTATTTGAGAACATTTCTCTTCTGTCCGTTAAAGTTTCTGAAAATAAGTTTCAAATTTCAAAACTTCAGATTTTCGTTTAGTGACAACATTGGTTTCAATGTGCGATACAACCGTAACCGTGTTATTATTGACCGTAATGCGGTCACACTAACTCGCAAATACGGTTCTAACTCCTAATCTGATCAATGGTAATTGATATTTCGCACTTTGAAAACGTTGCTGGCACTAATCGAAAAATTGGGCTTTTGAGAAAGAATCTTGAATAAGCGAGTTTTATATAATGATGGTGTCGTTTTAATTCACAACGTGCTATTTGTAATAGGAATATAAAATTTTCAGTTTAATAGTTTTTAAATTTAAAGTTTTGCCTCTGGACGGACATTTTCTGAAAAAGACAATAATTTCTTTTTTTTTTTTTTGTTTTTTAATAAAAATGGACGTACTCTTGACCACTACCTAGCCCTAGAGCAAAGATGAGGTCTACGTTGGTACGAGCTCGCCCAGAAGATGCCTATTCAATCGCACCTTGAAAATATTCGGGTTGTATGTACTCGGAAAAATAGACGCAGGCAGGGAATTCCAGTCACGGGCTGTGCGCATTATAAAAGATGACGAAAAGCGCTTAGTACGTCTTAAAGGAATATCAACCAGGTGAGGGTGATATCCCGCCGTTCGTCTAGATGTCCGATGGTAAAAGGGGGCGGATGGAATGAGCTGGTGGAGCTCATGGGCACACTCTCCGAAGTATAATCTGTAAAAAACCGACAGACCCGCGACCTTTCGCCGATGGGCTAAACTATGAAGTTTATATTCGAGCTCATCGTCGCCAATAAGCCTCCTGGCTCTGCGATCAATCGAGTCAAGAGCCTCTAGTTGCTATTTCGCTGAGCCATCCCACAGGTGACTGCAATACTCCATGCAAGACCGGACCTGCGCTTTATATAAGGTTAAAAGCTGTCCAGGCGAGAAGTATCGCTTCACCTTGTTAAGGATACCCAGCTTCTTGGCTGCAGTTTGCGCTTTAGACTCTATAGAAGCGCCAAAGTTGAGGTTTGCGCTTAATGTCATGCCAAGAAGCTCTAGGCGGTCGGTAACTGGGACAGATATACCCCGAAAAGTAGGAGTCAGATCAAATGGACTCCTTTTTGCGGAAAAAAGACAGGCCTGCGTTTTGGTGGCGTTGAAGCTGACCAGATTGTTGTCACCCCACTGGGCAACAAGACTTAAGGTCAGGTTCGTTCGCTCTACCATAGCCTCTCTCAGCGAACGAATATCTTCCCTGCCATCTCTTGCGCTAGACAGATATCTCTCGGTAACTGTACTGTCATCTGCATACCCAACTATACCCGGGACCAATAGGTCATTGATGTGTAGCAGGAAAAGAGTCGCCGAGAGAACAGACCCTTGAGGAACTCCAGCATCAATAGCCATCAAGTCAGATGAGCAGCCTTCAATGACTACTCGAATCGACCGTTCCCCAAGGAAATCTGATATCCAGCTGCAAAAGTCGGCAGGGATGCCGTAAGCAGGAAGCTTGCTCAGCAAACTTGCATGCCAAACCCTGTCGAAGGCCTTTGAGATATCGAGCGATACGGCCAGTGCCTCACCGTGTTTCTCGATGGCCTCGCCCCAGCAATGCGTAACATACACGAGAAGATTCTTTCCTTTGCCGGAAAAAATCTAAGTATCTCTCAAACCCATTTTTTGTGTTCATGGTATATTATTTAAACTAAACGAAAGTGTAAGCGAATAGTCTAACGTCTATCTATAAAACTTATATGAATTGAATGAATTAAAGGGTTGTAAAGTTTCATTGCGAGATCGAATCACAAATGAGGATACCCTCAAAAGAACCAGAGCAAACCACGTTGTTCCTAAGAGTGGTGTGTAAAGGTATACCGCAGCTAAAAGTACCCGTTTAGCAGCGATGCAGTCGCGTCTTTGTATCGACACAGTCGCGTGTTTGCATCGATGCAGTCGCGTCTTTGTATCGACGTAGTCGCGTGGTTGCATCGATGCAGTCGCGTCTTTGTATCGACGCAGTTGCGTGTTTGCATCGACGCAGTCGCGTGTTTGCATCGATGCAATCGCCTATAAATCGCGCTTTCAAGACTGCGTTTGCATCGCTGCTAAAAGTCCCCGTATATACCACTCTTAGGGTCGTATTTCAGAACTCTACTCAATGCTCAAGTCAGGATTTGAGCAGACTTGAGTATGATTTCAAGCACTGGTAATACCACCCTAATGGCAAGGCCTTGAGTATGATTTTCAGTGCTCACTGCAATACTCAAGTCCTGACTTGAGTATTAAGTAGAGTTGGAATACGACCCTAAGAATTGAAAAACTTAAACGGCTGTGGGCGTGGCACAATTCTCGCAGAACAGATAGCTGATAGGGTCAAAGAGACTTCAAATGGCGACCGGGTACCGGAAGACGCAGCTAGGGCAGACCACCCACAAGGTGATACTATGGTCTGGTGAAGGTTGCTGGAATCCACTGGATTCTAGCAGCGCAAGACCGGTTGTTGCGGTTATCTTTTTTGATAGGCCTACATCCAGCTGTAGACGAAACGTCTTTCGATGATTAGGGCCCGGATTAATACGTAATTACATATTTTTTATTTCAATAATTGATGTTCTTGGATTTGTTTTCTACGTAAATAATGATATTTAGTATAAAAACGAGTGATATTACGACATATTTTTCCGTATTTAGACCATATTTCTACGCGAAACTTGCAATAATCCATATTTTCAATATTACATGATATTTTATTCAATTTAAAAAATTATAGTTGCGTGCGTGCTTGAAAAAGAAAATCGTTTTAATACACTAAAAAAAAATTAACAGTGTATTGTGCGGAAGGTTAGAAGACAACCTAGACGTGACCTACTGACATGCGGAATTGTGCAAAAAAGTTTGCTCCAGTCACATCCTGTGACGTCGAAAAGTCATTCAGCCAGTACAAAGCGTTGTTTCAACCAAACAGAAAATTTTGATTTTCAAAATTTTTAAAAAACAATAAAAGTAACGAAAATTTGATTGAAATGGTTAAAATTGTTGATTTTTTTTTAAATGAAGCGTAGTCCATATGAAAAGAGTAATTTTTTTTTATTTCCATTTATGATTTGAAGATTTTTTGCCCATATTATATGTACATATTTTGTAGTTTATACTACATATTATCCGAGCCCTAATGATGATGAAAGGTTGTAGGTTGATTTGCAAATTTTTTCTGGGTGGCACGATATGACATGTCTTATCTTAATGATCCCAAAAATAGTGTAAATAATATTTTTGTTTACATAACTAGCATTGCTGATGCCAGGGTCAGGACCCTAACAACTATGTTATACTATAAACAATAGAATAACAAATTACAAAATACTTTGTTAGCTTTGTAACGCCACAACATACTTACGCCATGACCTATTTACTTTTTTCAGGTTGTCTCTATATTGGAAGTAAATGTTATGAATGATAATTATATACAAATGTTTATTTACAAATAGCAAACCCTAGAGTTTCACACTCGTTTTTCTATTTCTATTTCAAATGTAAAGAAAATATGTTTGAATTTTAATAAGAGTTTGATAAATAGTTTTGGAGCTATCTACATCTTTTATGATACGGTTTTTTTACGAGTGTCGGGACGTTCATAGTAATTGCAGTGCCACTCAGAGATTCAAAACGCAAAGGTCTGAAGGACACTGCCACTGCGCCCGTCACCCGGAGACATAAGTTGACGAGTCCCATGTGCCTGTAATTTCACCAGTATCCTTCAAAACCTGAACTCAGTAATGCTCATATTACTACTTGGCGGCAGAATTATGTAAGGTGGCAGTACTTCTCTGGACGAACTCTATCGCAAGGACCTCTGTTGCTACAATATTATAATTATTATACCCTGAGGTTAGGAAAATATATATATGGGATTATACGGTGAAAATCTCTTCATTCAACAAATCGTCTTATCGACATTGTCAAAGAAACTCACTCACTCACTCTTCTTTTTTTTTCTAGGCATTAAAACCGCCTTTGTCAAGATGGTATCCCCTACCGCATTTATATCTAAGAAATGCGACATGATCCCTATCGAGTGGGTTACACGTCGTTTAGCTACGGGGTCCTTCTTGAAGCGTAACCCAGGAGTGCCAGAGGGATTCCGCTTCTGCCCGCCTAAGCAGGAGACATTCTTTAAGGACGATGCCAACCACGATCCTCAATGGTCTGAAGAACAGATTGTTAGCGCCAAATTCAAGTTTAACGGTGTGGAGATCGGTAAGTTCTTTTAAATAGATTTAAATATTTCTGTACTTTACTGTTTTTCCTGTCAAGTTCAACAACAATTACGCACATTACGACTTCGGAAGACATTTTTACAGACGCGTAACAAAGTTTCAGGTAATTTGTCGTTTTTAACCGACTTAAAAAAGGAGGAGGTTCTCAATTGGACTATATTTTTTTGTATGTACAAAAAAACGTTACGTGATTCCTCCGGCATTTCTGAACCGATTTTGTGTGATTCTTTTTGGTTGGAAAGTAGATACCCCAGTATTGATCCCATTTAAATTTGAAGAAAATATTAAGTGTAAGGGCATTGACTTACAATTGTAAGTCAATGTGTAAGGGTGTTAAAATAGGGGATGAAATCGGTGTCACGTACTTCCGGTAACCAATTTAAATAAACTTGGCAAATACTTAGATGTAATTCCATAAACTTTTGAGGTGGGTATTTTTTTATAATCATTTATTGCAGTCAATGTAATCGATATTTTTTTTGGTCATTTATTAATCCGTTTTCTGAAAAAAACAGGAAAATAACAGCTAAAGAATAAGATCTAATATACCTTATCCATAGGGTCAGATATTTCACATCGTCAAAAGCAACCTTTATCGTATCAAATAACAACAAAATCAGTATTTTGTTGAATGAATCACCGAAGTATACATGTGAAAAACTAAATCAATGCGATCCTTGCGGAAAACAATTTTTATTAAGCGGACAAACGATATTTATTTTTTCGCAGGTCAGGCTGAGGTGGACTACATGCGTCGTGCGACGATCCTTGTATTCGAGGTATTGGAGAAAGCGTGGGCTCTTCGCGACTGCGCCCTCATTGACATGAAAATCGAATTTGGAATTGACACTGAAGGTAAATAATTTGCATCGAGTATGTAACCAGAAAAAGAGACGAAATAAGTGATACATCTTATAAATATCAACTCTCGTTTGCAGTGAAATATAGACAGCGCCAACAATTGACCTATACATATGTACGTCTCGGTATATTCCAAAAATATTCTGCATTTATTGTAATAAAAATAATATCTCTAACAATGGTGTGCTATTCCATTCGATGGTGTGGGGAAAAACAGCAAAACATCTAATTACAAAACAAACGGAATCAATTTTCATCGGTAATCAAATATGTAATTTTGCAATTTTCGTCCATTATAGCAAAGTTCAAGTTAACTGGTCGATTTAAATGAAACAATTTTTTTTTTTTTTTAAATAACGCTCACACTCAACATAGCCCCGCACTAGGGAAACCCTGTGTCGCGGGTGCCATGGACACACACATAGACAACCACAAATTACACCCAAACTCACGAGAGAAATAAATGTAGGCCATACAAATATTTCTCCCAGCCCGGGAATCGAACCTGGGACCTCTGCGTGGCAGTCCGGCATGGTAACCGTTCGGTCACGGAGGCAGTTAAATTGACAACACCCGTCAATTGTTTCGATTTCGGGCTGGCCAATCGGAGCGCCGTTGTCACAGTAATGATTTGGCAGAATAGTTTGTCAACAAATTAAATGATATTTCGTCTCTATTTCTGGTTATATACTCGATGTCCGAGAACGACCGATTAAGCGAATTCGTTATGATCAGAAACTTGATGTTTTCGCAAATCTACTTTTTAGGCCCAAAGCAAATACCTAATTCAAATAATATTAACGGAATGTTTTGTGTATCGTTTGACAGGCACCATAGTTGTCGGTGATGTCATCGACTCCGACTCCTGGAGACTTTGGCCCTCCGGTGACAAGAGATTAATGGTTGATAAACAGGTAACCTTTTATCATTAAGCTTCAGTTGCATTATTACTGGTAACAATAATACATTTTTGCATGGAAAATAGAATTTAGTTTTTAGAAGTGTACAAGAAAACAAATCGTACACTTAGATACCGGTTATAACACGTCTAACCGGTATTAATAATAAAGTAACGTCACTTTTTTTAAATTTTTAAACAATTCTTAGAGCGGGTTGGAAGGTTCTTAAAATTTATTATTTTAAAGTTTCATACTGCCATCAATCAGGTGATTGTTACATCATGTGACTATCATTCAACCGATATCACGGTTCAAGGGGCACAGACTGATTATAAATGTTGTTTTTGTGTCCTTGTTCGTTTATGCCGTCATGTTGGATGAGATACGACGATATTGGTATGCTGTACCACATGATTTATTGTAACTAATTTTGTAAAAGGTTCAGTTTAATTGAGCAAAAATTGCTATTAAATATTGCTATGGCTGTCGCAGAGTTATTTACATGGCTGCATATTTACATAGTATTTGCATAATCTCGCAAATCTACACATTTCTAAGTTCTTTGTCATCAATTTGGAGAATTTTGGTTATTGATTTGATATATAATGTTCCCTTAATGACTCTCAATAAAGAGAAATCCGAATATTTGTACGTTTTTTCAACTTTTTGCTGTCCTGACCACAAAAGCAAAGTTCTTGTAGTGAACTAAGGCATTTTCATGTTTTTAAGTTAGAACCAATTAAATTGATTTAAAAATGATATTGATAGCCCAGAAAAAAAATGTGTTAGGTGATGTTATTAGTGAAATAGAACACCCAACTTTAAAATCAAATACTTTTACATCTTATCGTATACAAACGCGACGAAGTGAATTAACTAGTTAACTATTCATTTCATAATAGACCTCTATGCCCAAATAGTGTACTTAATTTTTTCACATTGCTGTACACTGCTATACATTGGAATTGATAAAATTTTTTTAGGAGTCTGCCGTGATCATGGTATCTGTAAAGAGCCCGAAACGTTAGTTTACTTGAAAAGATAAATATACGCGAATTAGATCCAAAAAAATAGTTTCATTTCCAATATGGAATGAATTTAACATTCAGCAGGCGCATTTTGTACAATAAAAGGTTATTCCACAATAAACATTATTGTAACGTTTCAATACTAATTCCAGGTCTACAGAAACCTGACAACAGTGACAGCTGCGGATCTGGACACTGTGAAGCGCAACTTCGATTGGGTAAAGGAGCAGCTCGACCACCTGAAACCCAATATCCACCATAAGGTGGTTGTTTTCATGGGATCCCCAGCTGATCAGGAACATTGCCTAAAGATCGCCAAGGGTAAGAGTTGTCAAAACCTTACAAAATTACTGTTGGAAAATTGTATTCTGGTGTCCACTTTAAGTCTTTATACATTTTATTGTATAATTGTCTTACCTTTTTACTTTAGATGAATTCTATTAATATAAACTACAAATATAAACAGCCTCCGTGGCCGAACGGTTACCACGCCGGACTGCCACGCAGAGGTCCCAGGTTCGATTCCCGGGTCGGGAGAAATATTTCTCTCGTGAGTTTGGGTGTAATTTGTGGTTGTCTATGTGTGTGTGTCCATGGCACCCGCGACACAGGGTTTTCCCTAGTGCGGGGCTATGTTGAGTGTGTGCGTTATTATTATTATTAACTGATCATAAATTTGTATGTACACGCCAGCATATCAAGCTACCTACACATTGACGTATCTTGTTCCGTCGCACTGGAGGCGATTCTCAAACAAAAATGTGTAGTCTGATGTGCCGTTGTCCGTACAAAATGATACCAGAAATGGAACGCCTTATGTGCGTCAAAGACATTATAATTAAATAAAAATTAATGTAAGATATATTAATAATACGGGTATCAAAATTTCAGCTGGTCGTGAACTCGGACTCGATGTAGATCTGCGCGTCACATCTGCCCACAAGGCTACAGAAGAGACCCTTCGCATCATGCAGCAATATGAAGACACGCATGGCGCCCTTGTTTTCATTGCAGTGGCTGGCCGCTCCAATGGACTTGGACCTGTACTTTCTGGCAACACTTCATACCCTGTTATTAACTGCCCACCGCCTTCTGAGAAACTTGTACAAGTTAGTCAACATTTATTTTATTTTTAAATTAACGCGCCCTGCATTTTTAATACATTATTAAAAATACAGGGCGCTTGTGATCAGAGCAGATTTTAGTAGGTGGAGGTAAGTGTATTTACTTGGCAGAAAATGGACCCATTTACGTTACCACAGTCCATGTACTTTTGAAATATTGTTCAGGTTAGCTGACGTCTTTTTGTTTTTCAAGGACATCTGGTCATCTCTTTCCGTACCATCCGGACTGGGCTGCGCCACAGTGCTCTACCCTGACAGCGCTGCACTAATGGCGGCTCAGATCGTTGGTCTTCAGGATTACATTGTGTGGGCCCGTCTTCGTGTCAAACAACTAGAGATGGCCTACTCACTCAGGCAGGCCGACAAGAAACTCCAGAACTTAACCCTTTGAAAACATTAATTTTGATTTTTAAGTATTACCATTTCATTTGTCACTTTTTATGGCTATTCAATATTAAGTGTACAAGTACAAGTCTTTTAACGGTTTTTACCCGTAACTGTATTAAGTGTTGCTGTATAAACTTTACTATATTAAGATACATGATTACAAGTGATGTCATCGTACCTGGGTACCTAAAATGTTCAACTTCAAAGGATATTTTTGCTTTTGCCGTAGAGTGTTGTCTGTATTGTTATTTTTTATTTAACAAGGCATTGTTTATGGGGATGTAATCTCACTATTAAATGCACCACGTTTTTTATCGTACATTCCGAAAATAAATGTTTTTTAAAATTGGTAAGTATTTTTAATTGGTATGCCTTAAAAATCGTCATTCCTGATACTATTGGAGTTAATCGAGATTCTAAGCTGAATTTTATACATATGTATTATATATGTAGTGGTTACATTTTTTCCCGAATTAATGTCTAAAACGATACTTTTTTTATTTAAAAAATATATTTGATGAAATACTTGAAATTTCAATTCAACTTTTCACGCTATCAGAATCTTCATTTATACATTTAGTTTTATACTAAGAGCACAAATAATATAATACCGCTTAAAGTATAGTACAGTTCTATTAATCAAATTACGACATTTGCTTTTACTCCATCAATATCCTCATAATTTTCTGCATGACTATGTACCGTTCTTTTCCTTGAAATCTCCCAAGCTCAGCAGCAATAAATTTTCCAAATAACATATTGCTCTCCATCATACTATCTCTATTTGATCCACTGACATTCAGGGAACAACTGTTATTGTTTTTAAATTTTTTTGGTGCTGATACTGTGTGTTGATGTTGCACAGGAGTGTCAACACCGTGGTCATCTGTTTGCGAAGAAGTTGGCTTATCGGCGGTATTTTGACAACTGACGAATTCACTATCCAGCCACTCCGCGCCATCTTCACTATTTTCCGAACCATTCTCGGTTTTGCAATCTTTAGGACTACATTGAGTAGTAGTGGCGGTATTGCTGGTCTCACCATTATCTTTTCGTATGCTTACATTCAATGCTTTCACGACAGCAAAATCTTCAGGGTGATGTGCTACCATATGATTTTTCAAGTTGGAGGAATGGCAACCCTGAAAGAAAATGTTAAATTATATTATAAACCACTTGTTGTTTGTTACTTTATGTGCAACTGTAACTGAAGATCACCGTCATAGTAAGTTTAGTCGTGTGGAAAAAATATGGTTGGTAAACAATAAAAACAGATCAACGAAACCATTTCGAAAGTCTACCTTTTCGTATAGGTCATCGAACTCAAATAAAAAACATCTTAAACCGGTTGAAAAACCGGTCCCAAAAATTATATCCAAAGGAAATGATAAATATCTTCCTGTAATTAAAAGTGTTGTCTTTTTATTTATGTGGTCATCGTCTGGATACTTATGCACTGCTTTTGTAACCTCAAACACTAATAAATATCGCAAGAACAGACTTACTCATAGAAGTGTTATTTAATTTCCTTGTTAAAACCTGAATATTGGAACCGTCATGTGTACTAAACGTACTGCATGTCAAAATATATTATGGGTACATAATAACTTACCTTCAAGTCACGTCCACAAAGTTCACATTTACTTATTTGTGTATTTGGATCATATGAAAAATACCTATGAACAGCATCAAACTTCTTTCGACCCATTTTTCTAAGAAAAATAATTGTAAGCAATATAAACCACAACCAGTTAATTTACGTTCCAAACCGAAACCAAACCTGTTTACTTCCGATCTAAACCCAAAGTGAAGTTATGTGGGTTACCCTTATAAAATGTATTGGCGATATATTGTTTTTAACTTAACCCAAAACCCATACTGGAAATATTGTGATTTTTGTTTGTACTTTACTTATATATGTATTTCAAAATCGTTTACTTTGTGAAAAGACTCCTCTCTCTAACGAATAAGAAAAATATATAGTTTCATAGTCATATAAACATTATTTTTAATGCAACAGCTTAGTGTATTCGAATTCGAACAACGGCAAATTATTTTTTCTGGCAACACTAGAAATGTTACTGTCAGGATTTTTACGAAATAGTGTTCGTATTACGCCGAATTGTGGTGTTTTAGCTATAACAGTTTCGTTTAGGTTTATATTTACGCACAAAATGGCTGATAAGCCGACAAATTATTCAACCACAAATGGTTTCGAGAGTAAAACTCCGTTCTTGATCGGCGTGGCTGGCGGCACGGCTAGTGGAAAGGTAATCCTACTTGAATACGATATTATTGATTTTTTCAGTTGAAACTTGAATTACGTAACACAACATGCGTGAAATTCGTTCTCCTAACTATTATATTAAGCGGTAGATAGTCATATATTAGAAAACAAAACGTTTTTGCATTTGTTGTTGATTTTGACGTTATAACCTCCCTAATTATCTAAACATCATTCATTGTCACCGTGTCGGTTTATACAGCCGTTAGCTTAAACTTCCGTGATTGTTTATGTTGATTATTATCCAAGTTTCCTACTGTGTAGTCAAGTGTCCCTTTTTCAAGGATTTTATTACCTGTCCTGTGCAACCACTGCGCTGGTCACCAAATGTCCTGACTCTGCTTTACTTCTTTTTTCTAAAATGTTATACCAATCATTATAGTCGTCGCCAATAAGAGGCCAAATTTGACACTTGTCATCGTAACGCGAATATGGATGTGGACTAATTATATTGGTAATCACATACGATTTTCACTAGAAATCAACTCAAAATTTTAAATTGTGATTATTTAGATTATTTTTCGGTTCATTGTTGTTCAAGGCCCCTTGAGCCAAATGGCTAAAAAGCCAAATCGTGCAATTCTGTTTCAAGCAATTCATTTACAGAATTCCTTGTCATTCTGTAGCAATTCCTCTTATTTTTGTAAAATTGTCCCACATTCCAATGAATTGTATCCATTTCTTTTAATTTTATAATATTCATAAACGGTTTATTACGAGAATTTAGTGTAAATATGTGTATTCATCGATAAAACAACTACATTAAAAAATTTAAATTACCAAGAAACCAAGGATTTAATAAATTTTCAATTCAAAAAGAAAAGGAAATACTAATCTGGCTATGAGGATGCGGCTGTTTTAAATTTGATAAATTATACATTTATTTATATATGCCAATAAAACTAAGTTTATGTATGTGAGTTCATCCCACAATAGAAATTCAAGTCTAGAACTTAAACTCATTGCATATGAACATAAGTGTCTACACCATTGACTTACAATTATATGGACGTCGGGTCCGCGCTAAAAAGTGTCCGCACTTGTAAGGCGCTAAAATCATATACAGAGCGCCAAACTCCGCTTTAGTCTTCATTTGTTTGATTGACAGCGCGATACTGCGATGACATTACAATTTAAATTTCGAATAGCTTGACTTGGGACATTTTTTTCGTGGTTTTTGTATTAGACCCATCGTCCATTTATTTGTAAGTCAATGGTCTACACTCAATTAATGAAACCGCACTATCATGCATATTGCATGCCCTTACATAGCATTTGTGGATAGTCAAATGTACCTAGGACTTACAATAGATAATCATATGAAATGGATAGAACATATCAATACAGTTTGTAGTAAACTAAAAGCTATACTTGCAAAATTTCCCGTAATAAAAAATAAACTTCCTTACCTTACTTTACGCAACCTGTATATATCACTTGGAGAATCAATAATTGGATACGGACTTACCAGCTACAGCCTAACTTGTAAATAATAATAATAATTCTTGATTTCGGACCATACAATATCCATAGTATGTTAGTAAAAGAACTTATATCAAGGTTAGTACTAATAATTGCAACTTAATTATATTTCAAAGGTCACCTTAATAAAATTTACAGATTGCAGCTAAGAATACTAAAAACTATAGTGCCTTCCAAAATTAAATTAAAGGACCAAGACGATTACCGCAGTTTGTTCCACCACTGCAAAATACTCCCTATATATGAAAAATTTAAAGTTTACAATCTACCTACAGTGGTCGAAATGAAGATGCAAAAAATGTCTGTAATAATGGATT